CTAAAGAATCTCTGATTCACTTTTTAAGCGACCGCTGTCCCCTCAAAGCAAGAAAACGCAGATTACAACTCTGTTTAATTAATGGGAAGGATCAGGGGTATAGCTTATTACTTTTCGATTTACTCTAAAAGTAAGTGTGAAAATATTCTGGTCGAGGACAGCCCAAAATCTATAAAAATCTAGCTACTAATTGCTTTTTCCGTTGCTCCAGCGAATTTTAGTTTTGGGTGGCGGAAGGGGAAGGAATACTTATAAACAGATCATTTTGGCAGATTCTCGAGAAGAAGTTTTCAATCATTCTACCAGATGGGCTGAAAGAATAGAAAAATTTCTAGAAGAGATCCGCAGGTCAGCTTTATAATAGGTGGATGAGTAGAGACTCCAAATCGTATAGTGGAAGCGGAAAAAGAGGTTTTACCTGATTACTTCAATTCTTGTCCATCTATTCGGGGCTAGCGGTGTGGGATGCGTGAGAGACACTAATCCGGAGCCAAGATTCATCATAACTTGTACTGTTCGATCCTATAGAAAAAAATAGATGACAAAGTTAAGGAAAAGCGAAATTTTTGGTACATACTGGAGTTATCAGCAGGCGGAAGAAGTCTCCAGTGATACCGTTTTCACCAGCAAATGCGAGTAGCTAAAAGGGAAGAATTACGTGTAACTATAGAAACTCTATGATACTCTTTACCTGGCTCCTGGCAGAACCATCTTCATCGGTCATGTTATTCAACCGAACATTGATTTCCATGTTCAGAGAATCTCCAGTGATTCTAAAAGCAGCTCTTTGTGAGCTAGGACAAATGCAGCAAAAAAGAACATATACTGACTGGTTCATGTGCTCTTCACTTCTGAATTCCAGGTAAGAATATCCCGTAAAACGCATTGCCGATAAACCAGTGGTTTCTAGAAATCTCAATGAGTGAAATGCAAATTAGTGTTTTCTTACGCTGATGAAACTGACCCAATTCGCAGGTTTTTCCATATTGGGGCCAATCACATAAACAGATGAAGTCATCGTTGTTAGAGGTGCAGCTGCGAGGACATGCTGCTGTTGCGCACGGATCTATTCCACATTCTCGTATATGTTGCCCGCTTCCGGCTCTGAGTACTACCGCCTTGCCATTTAGACGGATCTAAACCTCGAAAAATAGTCCAACAGACTTCTTGAAATTCAAAGCCATTTTTGTTATTTTAACTTTGAAGGCAGCTTTACAACATTTTGCTTGATATAATGCAGAATTGGCTACCTTCTTCATGCATCCGTGGAATCCAGATACCATAGCAAGATGATCAGGCAATGCACCATCATAACCT